CAGTCTATACGGATTAAAAAAAAATTTTTAATGCCAAATTATTGCAAAATGTCAACTAGCTAGTAAAGGCTTTGAGTCTAGATCTGAGTTCCAGGCAGGAGATGTGAAAACCTTACAAAGACATACTCTGCATGATTATCTCAAGGAAATGTTTCTCACTTTGAATAAGAAAAAGGGAAAGTACCAAAGGAAGGCCAGACAGGCTCTATGGAAGGATTAGATGAAAGCTTGGTTTGAGATTGTTAGAACAAGCATGATTTTGTTGTAATAACCAAGTAGGTAGTTAAGTTTAAAAGTAAAGTAATATAATATCAGCTATAAAAAATTTCCCACCTTTTACAAGAAGAATTTTTGAGATTGCACAGTACTCCTACAAACCACATTAGACACTCGGGTAGTTTAACAAAGAAAAAAAAAATGACATGGTTCAGTCAGATACGAAATTTTACAAAATAAAAAAGGAGAACCAAATACAGAAAGTAATGTGGGCTAACATTAACCAAAAGCCAAGTGATTAGTTCTTTTTGAGATTTTCACCAGACACCCAAACACTGCAGGATTACTGGCATCACATTATTAAAATATGCTAAAATATAATAAATACCACGAGCTTAAAACCTAATGTACTGGGAAGCAAACCTTTACATGCTCCGCCTAGCCTTTACATTAATTCTGTGTAATTTTATTTCTTAAAATCCTTGAACTTCCAAATAAGAATAGCAGAAACAAAAATTCACAAGAATGGACCACAAACAAGATTATCAATAGTTCCCATTTAAATAGTAATAGCACAATAATATGGGTTATATCACTGAAAAGCAGTAGAGAAGTCCATGTAAAAATTAAGTGATTATATATGCTTATATGTACACATAACATTCTCAGCATTAAAAAACAAAACAAAAAAGACTACTGGTATGGTAAACTTTTGAAAGAAAGCAATTCTCCCTGAAGATACAATATTGGCAATTTGTTGATACTTCTCTGGAGTTTAAGTTTGGAATATTCTCATTTATGCTATGCTTAAAACAATGCAATCATTTTTTATTCATTCAGTTCTGATCTTCATACTCTTAACAGTTTTAGAACAGGTGGGAACAGTGACCTGCTTTTTTCAACCATTATATCCCCCAGACATGACTAATTTGAAGCTGAGCAAATTGCACATAATGGGCCAGGGATTCAAGTTCACAATTTTTAGTAGGCTGCACTCTTGTTTCAGGGCACATGGTTCTCCTTCCCTTCCCTCCTTCCACCACCCCTGCAGCTGCCTCTCCATGAACTAAATTCACCAAACATGAAATCAAAGGGAAATTATTTTTTGCATTTTCTGCAGGCTTATTTTCAAGGAGGATAAAGATTAGGCTACATCTTTAAAAATATTTTCTTTTCCTTTAGGGGTTCTTAAGTTTTTAAATACATTCTAAATTCTAAAGAAGCTAGCTACTTAAGAAACCTTCTCAACACATAAGAAGACAATAAGATGCATCATTTTATACTGGTTCAAAGTTTTTATAAAAGCATGGCATAATTCAGCGAAATTTTAAATACCCCAAATTCCACCTTATAAGATATTGTGTTCTAGAGCCTTTTTACAAAATACCATTAAAGGTGTGCAGTATACAGACACTGGCACAAGAAAAACTAACAAACAAAACAAGCAGGAAACAAAACAAAAACTTGGTTCTCGAAAGGCCATTGGGGTAGGGAAGTGTGTAAGCTGGCTAAACCAAAACCCAATCCCTCCTATCTGCTTTTTATCTGATGTCTAAATTTCCCCCACCAATTCTAGAAGGCTGCAATCAAATGCCAGTGTAAAAACAGCATATAAAATTTCTCCAAGTATTGAAACATTCATACAATTTTGTAACTAGAGACTTTGAACTCATTGATCTACCAATGAAGAAAATGAAACTTGTTGGTTAACTGATTTCCCTGGTCACTTTGGGGTGCATGGTTTGTCATGACCGTTTGGTGGGGGGGGGGATGGATGGTTGTTTTTGTTTTGTATATACGTGTATGGAGTACTTTTATAATCAGGAACTTTGCCATTCAGAGCCTCCCCTTTCTAGGTTGCCATGTTTCCTTTCATGGGAACCAACAATGATCAAAAAGAAATGTAAATTATGTTTATATCACTTTCTCAATTAACCTCTGCAGACGCATTAAAAAGAAGTGAAGTCATCCCCCCCCATCTCACACACACACACACACACACACACACACACACCCCTGACTTCCTACTTATCAGTGGAGTTCTCTTCTCACTGAGAAGAGTGGAGGAAGAGGTTTCTGAACTTTACTTCAACTTTCCAGCCTAGGAACTGCTTCAACTACTGATTCCACTTGCCACTTTGTTGAAGTTCCAGGCTTTGCTCGGTTTCACCTGCTTTTCATTTTAGGGAAGTCTGGTGGGAAAACACTGCACTTACCTTTTGTTGATATTTATTTCCCATTTGGGGGTCTTGCAGTGTACCCAAGTTCCTTGATTTGTTTAACAGCAAAAACAAACAAACAAACATAAATACTGTCTAAACAGTTGAGACAAAGGCTAAGTCACTATTTAGTGTTTAAGGTGAACTGAATCTGATCTTTGCAGTCTACTATGGCCAGAGCAGAGGACATGTCTTGGCAACTGAGGAAGGAGGGGAGCTAAGGAGTAAACTTACACAACTCCCCCCCCCCCCCAAGAAGTGTTATAGATATTTTTTTCTTTTCCAAGGAAATTGGAACTGTAACAGTTTATCTATTGAGAAGAATCTAGCTGGAGTTATGACCTATCACTAACTTTTTGTGACGGTTATCAAGTATGGTCACCAACCAAATTCTCTGGGCAAAACAACTCCTGGCACCACTTACTCTAGGCAAACCCCTTTGAATATAAAACTGTTCTGATCCTACAGCAACGTTAATGACCAGCAGCCACTCACCAGTGTCTTTGCACCTTTGCTCCACAGTACTAAGATCCCAGAAATTATAGTAGTTCCGGAAGCGCCCTAAGAAACCCACAACAGTGGATAATGGGCTCTTCGAGGCTAGGAGATCAGCTTCTTAGGAAAAGAAAAAGAAACCCACACCAACAAACACCAGGGAACTATGTGTAATGGTTCGCTGCTTGTGCAAAAACCTCAAAGAGGATGAAGGTCAGACAGGGATAATAGGCCAATTTAATTCTGAAAGCACAAGGTGCAAGAAATTTTAATTATGGTCTGCCACTGAAATCACACAAGATCCAATGGCATCTAACTGCAACTGCTCATCAAGGGAGACAAGAGGTGTAATTGTAACCGCTGCATAATCACTGTGAGGGCACAGGGAAGGCTGCCTTCAGCTCCCAGCAGAGAATGTATTAAGAGCCTCGAAAAATCCAATACAGGGAAACATGGAGATTGTACGTAGCCAAACAGGAGCTCTTAACAGGAAAGCCAAACCCCGTTGTGTGTGTGCGCGCGCGTGTATGTATTTGAGAGGTGAGGGTTCCAGGAACAAAAAGATTAAGCTGTTTGGCCCAAATTGAGAATACGGGCTTGTAAAACTCCGAACCCCTTTCTGCTTTGTGGATACATACGCAGAGAGAAAGGCATGATCTCCTCCAGAAATTTCTGCCTCGGTGAAGCTTCACCCACTCTCCTTTGTTTAAAACAATTAGCTTGGATGTTACAGTGATTTACAGAACCAGACTCCCTTTAATTTGTTCGCATCAAACCCAAGTCTGGAGACAAAACGGCACACACAGGGCTCGAAGTGCCCAAGCCTGTGCGGCTCTCACCACCACGCCGACGACGGCGCCCGCGCGGCGCTGACTCTCGCAAAGGGACGGGCGGAGAAAGCCCCTCCGCGGACTCTCCACTCCGCAAAGTTTCGCAGGTCCGCGAAGAAAGCAAAACCACCCCATCCGCGCCCGTTGCAAAGTTGGCACTGAAGTTTGTACCGGGATGTCCTAAATCCCAAGGGGGAAGGGGACGCGAGTGTGCGGCGAGGCTGGAGGATGGATGAAGACGGAGAGACAGCCAAGAGGGAGTTTTTCCGAGTGGAAGATCCGTGAGACCATCTTCTTCACTCGGAAGCCTGTTTGGCTCCCAGAGGTCCGGGCCGCGCTCGCCAGGGGAGGCGCCTTCGCCGGGGGCCGGAGAGCTGTCACCTGCGGGGAGCCGCGGCGGGGGCGGGAGGCGGGAGGCGCTCTGCTAGGCGCCCTGGGAGGACTGGGGGCTTCAGAATCCCCAGCTCTGCGGGCTCTGAGACGTGGGGGAGGGGAGATTCGCGAGAGGGCAGGAGGCCAAGAGCAACACCTTACGGATACGCTTTTCCCTTCCGACCTCTCCAACTTCCCGCAGCGCCAGCCAAGGACTTTCTCCCACCGCACCCCACGGCATCTCGCCTCCAGGCCCACCTCGCAGACCCGTCCGCGGCCGCGGCGGGGGGTGGGGGTGGGGTGCGGTGAGGAAGCAGCGGGCGTGAAGGCTGGGACCCCAAAACGCAAACTCTCACCCCCTAGCTGAGACGACCAAATAGGTTTACACAGGCAACGATCACAGCCCCATAGCAGGACTCCGGGTTAGCGCCGGGCGCAGTTCCCTGACTCTTCTGTTGTTCCCAATAAAGTCGATTACGTTGCCCTCCGGGAGCTGATTGGGAGGGAACGGAGAGGAAAAGGGGGGAACGCGGGAAAAAGCGGGGGGAGCAGCAATCAACTTTGTAACCCAGCGCTTCCTCGCGCGATCCGTCGCCATGCTTAAGATTCCCACCCCCGCCACCCCCCTCCTTCCTTTCAAGTGGATACTGAAACTAGGCCAAAACTTTTTCCCCTCCTTTTCTCTTAGCCACTAGACTGGATTGTGCCCCACGGAGCCCCATGGAGCTCTGCTTTCTTAAGCACAATAGCCGGACTAATTAGATCATAGAAGCAAGGCACTGATACTGTAACAAGTAGCCCGAGAGGCAAAGAGGGAAGGGGCCCGAAAAGAGAGAAAGGGGGAAAAGTTTGCAGCTCTCGCACTTACCAATCAAGCCTCCCACCAGAAAGGCGATGATTTGGAACACGAGCAGAATCCCACCAACAATGCACAGCTTCTTGGTGCTCATGTTTTCTATAATTGCCCCAGCCATTTTTGCGCCCCCCTTTTTCTTTCCTCCTTGAAATAAATGTTTTAGGGTGTGCTATTTGCCCCCTCTCCTCTCAGGCTCCCTCCTCCCTCGCCTCCTTTCTGGGCGCTGCAAAACTTCAGGGGTGCGGGAGCGCGGCGAGGATGGGACCGGGACGCACGGCGCCCGCACGGATTCCCCCGGCGCAGCCGGCTCGGGCTCCCCCAATGCCCGGAGCTGTGATTGTGGCCGCTCCGCCGCCTGTGGACGCTTAAAGGAGCAGGGAAGCGGATCACATGACGCTGCCTGCCTCCCTCCCTTTCTTCCTCCCTCCCTCTCGCGCTTCCTCCCTCCCTCCCTCCCTCTCTCCCTTCCTCTCCCCGTTGCCCGCCTGTGCGGGGCTCCGAGCTCCGGAGGGTGCTGGCGTCCCGACCCCGGTCTGTCTGGCAGCCTGTCCCGCCTGGGGCTGGTGTCGTTTGGGGGTTGATGTTGTTGTTAAGTGGGTTCCCCCTACCCCGCCTCTCACGTTTCCTTTTCTGGTGCGAGATTTAAATCACCCATGGACAGCTTTGCAGACCTTTAACTTACGCGTTGGCTTTAGGAAACGGGCCCCACCCGCAACTGCTAGAACTCTCTTTGGGAAAGAGAAGAATTTTTTAAAGGGACCCAAAGATGCTTAAGTCAAAGCACAGAGATGCAGAATAGTCTTCGGCTTCCTTCGACCTGGTCCCAGCCTTAGTTATTGGGCGCATACACAGCTAAATTTCCTCCGCTGCACCCCTGGAGGAATCCTGTGCTCCAGCCAAGTCAGACCACTGTTCATTATCCCCCATTCCATGAGTTTCCAGAGCCTTGACCCTGGCCCTTAAATATATATATTCTACTCCGTCGGAGTTTTAAACCTCATTTAAAAACCAGCTCGTCACCTAAGTTTCCAAATCACCTCCGTGTAGTATTTCCGTGAACTAAACCCCTACAACTCGTGTTTACATTTTTAGCTCCTATTGTGAGGACCTGTGTGTACATGTTTGTCTCCACAGAGCTGTAAACTCCTGGGGGATAGGGACCGAGTTTTATTCATCTTTGAACCCCACCCCCACCCCCCGTGGTGCCTAACAAAATTCTAGGTCTTGTAGGTCCTCCATAAACTTTTGTGGAATGAATAAATGAATGTGAAAGCAAGCCCACGGCTTGCATTTCAAAAGCCTGAAAGAGACCTTATTTGATTTAGATGGTACACTTATTTAGTTGCAATGTTTGTTGTCTCTTTGTGAGGATATATTTATATTTACACTTAACTTCTCGAGGAGAAGGAAGCTGAGACTCTTCAGAGATTTCCTGTTCTATCAAGCCTAAATTCCTGGACCTGGTTTTTCCATGTTCCATAAATAGGTCACTTGATCAGCACAACTCATTTGCCCAACAGACCCTTGGTTTGGTCACCCCCCCCACTCCTACACAAACAAGGTTTCTACCACCCACCGTTCCTTAGACACCTGGCTTCTTGTCCCTTCCCTCTATCCACAGCCTCTTTATGCCAAGGGAATACCCCAAATCCTCTCTTCTCTGCTCTATTTTTGAGCTTGCATTGCCCTTATGGAAGATACCATGCAGATTATACTTAATAGAAGTATTCATTTCTAGTCTCCAGCTAGACTAGACACTCCTCAAGGACAGGTACCATACTTTATGCATTGAAAACCCATCTCCTTGGAGTCTAACAGTTCTTAAGAGTTCTGGGGAAATAGTTGCTATTTATCCATTCATTCCTTCAACCTTTTAACCAGTAGGGCTCACATATTGAGCCCTTAACCTGTTCCAGGCTTTGTGTTTTAAGCCCTTGAGGATACCAAGATATGAAGACACTCCTGTCCTGGAGGAGCCCACATCCAGCTGTTACTCACTGAATAGTGATTAATGACCTTTACTTTGGAAAACACCAGATCAGATGGGAAGCAGCACACAGAATTGCTGTCAACAGTAGTGGTCAGAAGTGTTTGGTACCAAACACAGATAGACCAGTGTGGGATATTTGCCTTCCTTCTTTACCTTTTCGGAGCTTACATCCCTTTTCTTCCCCTTGACTGGAGTAGGTCCCAGGACATCATAAAAAGAAGTAGGAATGCCTTTCTCACCTCTGCTGCTAGTTAACTCCACATTCTGTGTTCTTATCTCAGCAAGCTACCAACTTCCACACATTTGGATAATAATGATGCCTTTGGGTTCGAATTTCTTTTTAATACCAAGGAATTTTTTTTAATTAAGGTTGAAAGGATTCACTATCAAGATTTACTCTCCATTTGATATTAAGTTTCTCTATTTAAGAAGACAGAAATGGTATTCTATGAACTTCAAATATGAAGTGGAGCCACAAGAATGTTGAATTGGTTTATCGTCATCCCCCCTTATCCAGGGTTTAGTTTTCTATGGTTTCAGTTACCTGCAGTCAACTGCAGTCTGATGGTCTGAAAGCAGATGATCCTTCTGACCTATTGTCAGAAGGTCAATAAGTAGCCTAATGCTACAACACAATGCCTTTGTCATTCACCTCACTTCCTGTCAACACAAAGTCATTTTATCATCTCACATCATCACAAGAAGGCTGAGTACAGTACAATAAGGTATTTTGAGAGACTACATTCACATAGCTTTAATTACAGTATATTGTTATAATTGTTTTATTCTATTATTAGTTATTGTTGTTAATCTCCTACTGTACCCAACTTTATCATAGGCATATACACATAGGATAAGACATAGTATATACAGGGTTTGGTATTATCTGCGATTCCAGGCATCCACTGGGGATCATGGAACATACATCCCACAGATAAGGGAGTGTACTATATTTGTTTAACATTAGCAAGCTCCTTCAGTCATTTTTCCTTTTTTTAAAAAAAATTTTTAATGTTTATTTTTGAGAGACAGGGAGAGAGAGAGAGAGACAGAACATGAGTGGGGGAGGGCAGAGAGAGAGAGAGACACACAGAATCTGAAGCAGGCTCCAGGCTCTGAGCTGTCTGCACAGAGCCTGACATGGGGCTCAAACCCACGAACCGTGAGATCATGACCTGAGGCAATGTCGGCTGCTTAACCCACTGAGTCACCCAGGTGACCGTCCTCAAGTCATTTTTCTATTAACGGCTACAACACACTCTACTCCCTTGGTTCACAAGTGCATCTCTTTAGCGTAACTGGTCTCACTTCTTTGGTACCAGTTTTCCCATCTGAAAATGAGATTATTGGAATAAAATACTGTTTCCCCACAAGGGTGGTCCCCTATTTTTAAATGGCACTTATTAGATAGCCATTTTAATTAAAAAGAAATATTTCTGGGGCACCTGGGTGGCTCAGTGAGTTAAGCGTCCGACTTCAGCTCAGGTCATGATCTCATGGCTCATGAGTTTGAGCTCTATGTCAGGCTCCGTGCTGACAGCTCAGAGCCTGGAGCCTGCTTTGGATTCTGTGTCTCGCTCTCTCTTTCTCTCTGCCCCTCCCCTGCTCGCACTCTGTCACTCTCTCTCTCTCAAAAATAAACAAACATTAAAAATAATATTTTAAATATTTCTAATTGCTAATCAATGCTTCTAACTCTCATGAGATGACCAATATTACCAAACTGTGTGTGGAACAGACATTTTCAGTATTTATCACCATGAGCTGCTTCAAGAAAAATCTATAATTTCTATGATATCTTTTTAAAAATTTAAAATGACTGGCAGATCCTTATTTCCCAAGGGAATAACACACACAAGTTGAAAAGAGCATGAGTGTTTGGGTTGTCTGGGTTTGGAATGGAGCTTAGACCCCAGCTCTGCCCCTTGCTTGTTATGTGTGATTATGGGCCACTACAGTTACCTAGCACTCCGAAGCTTAGCTTTCTTGTCTCTAAAATGCAGATAATCAGGGCACCAGGGTGGCTCAGTCGTTAAGCGGCCGACTTCGGCTCAGGTCATGATCTCGCAGTCTGTGAGTTCGAGCCCCGCGTCGGGCTCTGTGCTGACAGCTCAGAGCCTGGAGCCTGTTTCAGATTCTGTGTCTCCCTCTCTCTGACCCTCCCCCATTCATGCTCTGTCTCTCTGTCTCAAAAAAATAAATAAACGTTAAAAATAAATAAATAAATAAAAGTAAATAAATAAAATGCAGATAATGGCAACATCTGCCTCATGGTATTCTTGCAAGACATGGTGATGATGATTATACTGAAGAACCCTTAAGGGAAACCGATAACCTTGCATTAAAAACTAGTAAAACTGATCATTAATTGGTTCTTCCTCAGCTCTAAAATGTTAGCACATTATCATTATTTTTCGAGGCATATTTTAGGAACAGTGTGAGAGATTAACTCTACTTGAGAAGGGCTTTAGAAAGGTTAACATCTAGGGGCGCCTGGGTGGCGCAGTCGGTTAAGCGTCCAACTTCAGCCAGGTCACGATCTCGCGGTCCGTGAGTTCGAGCCCCGCGTCAGGCTCTGGGCTGATGGCTCGGAGCCTGGAGCCTGTTTCCGATTCTGTGTCTCCCTCTCTCTCTGCCCCTCCCCCGTTCATGCTCTGTCTCTCTCTGTCCCAAAAATAAATAAAAAACGTTGAAAAAAAAATTAAAAAAAAAAAAAGAAAGGTTAACATCTAGTATGGAACTCTGAACAACAGTAGGTAAAATTGAAACATAGAAACCTTCTATTCTAAAAAATACTTTCAATCACCAGTAAAACACTTGTTGTGGGTCCTGAGGTAGATCGTCCCAGACACTGGATAATCCAAGAGTGCAATCCAACTTTTCCAACAGCATTGGATCATTCCAATTCTATTTCACTAGACTTTAAGTTGGAGATCCTGATTTATCCATCATTTTATTTGAAGGGTTTGTCTTATGGAAGAATATACTGATGTTCAAGGCATATTTATTGAATGGATGAATGAATAAATGGATGAATAAATGAGTAAGTGAAGGTAAATTAACTGCCACCAGCCCTGCCCCCACCCCCCAAATTCCTATATAGCATATACTGACAAATTCCTATCTGGCGTATGTAACCTGGGCTGTAGTTTTCACATATATCTATATATGTGCTGTATTGTCACCCTGGTTTGCAAGCTGCTTAAACACAAGGAAAGTGTGACCAGAGCCTTTGTCTCTCTTACAGCCCCAGCACTGCACCTTGCACAGAGGAGGACTCAGTTCCTGGAGCTGAGAAAGCCCACTTTGGAAGCCAAGGGCAGCATTCCATTATTGTCATTGACA